TGAACAACTGGGGTATGATCTGCAGGGAGGGCAGCTGCCTTTGCAAGCTAATTGGGAACAGCCACTTCTTGAGCTGCATTTACATCTTGCCTGCTGACACTAGTTCAGAATAAAGAGCTAATAGATTAGCTGGGACATTCTTTTTTCCTATCAAAATAGTGTAACTTTGACCCGCACAGAATCTCCACAGAAAAGCAGCTCCTTTTGGGGAGGTCCCAGACAGCAAAGCTTTAGCAGAGACTGGCAGTGTTGGCTGCCCCATGGATGGATGGATCTGGGGTTTGGATCTACTGGTTGCTATGCAGCCATGAACACTGAAGTAGGAGAATATTGCTTCTTCCCATGGAGAAGGGGCTATAGCAGTGCTGTTGAATTGTTTTACATGGGAGGATGAAAAGGCTGGAAAGTGGCCTCCTTTACAGAGGGAACCTTCCCTCTCTTCCTTTGCAGCCCTTTTGTTGCCCAGGCAGACACAAGACTCTCAGGCAGGCTTCAGTTTTTATGTTAAAACCACTGGGAAATCAGAGGCAGCTGGAAATAGCAGGTCCTCACTGAAGCAGCCTTGTCAGCCCCTGACTTTCACAGGCCCTTCCACATACCTGATCTTTGCCAGGCTCCACCAGGTAGGCAGTAACTGACTGGATGTTGGGTGCCTGGGAGTGCAACCATTCCAGAGCAGTAACAGTCATCTGTAGAAGACTTTCCAGCGTGCAGATGTGGTGGTAGGCTCTGCTGAAAGCACGAGACACTCCCTGTGAAAGCAGAATCCTCCAAATGAGCCAGACAGTTCGAAGTGACTTGGGGAATAAAGTTTGGGAAACATTCACACAGCAAAATGAAGTGAAAGGGTTGCAACAAGTTACTTTACCCACAATTTATAAAGCTGAAAAGTGACTGTGAAATGTCCCTAATCAAATAGTTCTCTAAAGCTCCAGAGTACCCGGTTCACAGGCAAGTCCTAAACTAGACCAAGTTGTTTTTCAGTGGTTTAACCAAGCTGACTGGGAATGTTGGTTTGCTGCGCTCCCTGCTGCCCAGATAGTGCATCCACACTGAGGCTGGTTCTGAAGAGCTTCCCAAAGAAATCTTAGACCGCTGTTGTTTATAATTATTCCACCATAGAAGAAATGAGGTTTCATGCTGCTTTATGGAAACAAACACAATTATGAGGTTCAGAGCTTCAGGAAAGAAAATCTGGTGTCTTTGGCCTTTGCACAAAATTGCAAGTAGTCAAGAAAAACTTAAATAAATTATTGATGAAGTGATACCTCATCATCAATTACAGAGAACATGCTAATCTATAAGATATTGATAAGGTATTTTGCTCACATCAGTTGCACTAGATACAGTAAAAAGGGCCCCATGGTTCTTTCCTTAGCTGTCCATCTGATTTTTACTCAGCTCAAATATTTGCACAGTCCCTACCCAGCTTTTTGAAGAGTGGTCTGACCAGCTGTTTCCTGATGGTGCCCACCTGATAGAACATGATCTCATGGGTCGGGAAGATGGTTTCCTCAAACTCATCCCGAAGAGTGTCAAGTCCTAGAATGCCAAAGGCTCTCCAGTGAGCATCATGCAGTGGCAGGACCAGGAATGCACCTCTTATATTCATCTCTGGGCGGTCTCTGTTCCAGAAGTGAATATTTCCATGGAGATGAACTCTTGAAACATAGATTGGCTTTCCCTCTTCCACAGCTGTGAAGCTGAACAATAAAGTTATCAGGAGGTTTTTGAAGACTAGCAGAAAACCCTTAGCAAAGCAATAAATACTGCAGCTTTTATGTCTCCCTGCTTTTTGGCATCAGAGAGGAAGGTGTCAGCTCCTTACTCTGGCCACAGCCAGGAATACCACATTTACCACCTGCATCCCAAATACTGTGGTAATAAATAAGGCACTTTTCATCCTCAGGACATTTTTAGAACATCAGCTAATGAATGTAATGAAAGGGGATACAGAAGGAAGCAGCAGTTAGTTAGAAGAGGTAATATGTAAAGAAAGAATCAAATCTGTCTAGCTCTTGGAAATGAGGAGTAAAGAGGCATGAAAGCTGTTAATAGTGTAAACACTAGGGAAGGAAAGGCATTGTTCTCAAAAAATATCCTGGGGATGTAAATTGGTGTAAGGGAATAAATTTTTAAAGAAGAAAATGTAGGCCCAATAGACTTTTGCTAAAGGATGAGATTCATTAGCTTGTGAGCTAATCTCCCCAAGGAAAGCAGTGAAATCCCAAACAAAGCAGCTGTAAGTAGACCATGCAAAGTAGAAGGGCATGGATATGATGATCAATCATTCCACAGTGGTCCCTGAGATTTCCTCTCTGGAGTATTTTATAAACCTCTGTTTCCAGTGCACCCCAAGCACAGCCTGGTAGCCCTACATTCCAAATATTTTTGAGAAAAAGGAACAGTTCTCTGCAGCTTTTCTTACCTTACTCCTTTCATGTCTCTGTAAAGTTTTTGGTTTAGAACATATGGAGCATCATCTGTGGTACAGGCCACATAGTGCAGGAGAAGCTGTCCCCGCTCTGGTGAGAGCTAGTTCTCTTCCAGAAGGGCAATATATGCACTGATCTTCTTGTTATCCCCATAGGCTTCTGCATCCTAGCAACCAAATGTTTCCCATTACATTATGTGCATTAGCTGTTGGCCATTACACGTATTTCATGTGCTTAGCACTTGTCTCATTCTTGCTGAGATGCTGTTCTGGGTCACTGATGTTTTATGTCATGCACCAACTGCTTGACATGTATGTGTCTGTGCTGTGATGGCATCTGACCCGTGTATTTTGTTACAAGCAAAAACATTTTGTATTTTGATTGGCAAGGAAAATTGATTTCATTTTTCCTGCTGCTAATGGGGAGCAGTTCCTATAAAAATAATCCTTAATTACAACCTGTGCCTAAGCAAAACTCCTATGAATTTCTTCTCCAATAGGAGGTTCCTTTGGAAAAATCAGACAAACAAGTGCCAGAGTTGCTACAGCTACAAACCTAAATATTTTAAGAACACTTCAAGTACTATGAGAGAATCACAGAATCATAGAATGCCAGGTTAGAAGGGACCTCAAAGATTATCTGGTCCAACATTTTTAGGTGCTACTATAGTTTATAAAAGGTGGCTCAAGAGCCTGTCAAGCTGAGACTTAGAACTGTTCACTGTGGGGGAATCCACCACTTCCCTTGGGAGACAATTCCAAGAAGTTTTGCTTTGGGGAGGGGCTTTAATGGTGACTACAAACATATAAAGTTGCAGCTGCAATTTAAAAAGTAAACTATATATCTACTACAAGTTATCCATCTTTGTCTCAAACAGTCTGGTGTGTTTCAAGTCAGCAGCTCTAAAACTAGAACTGTGGATTTCCAGATGTGACCTGAGACAGCCCTTCAAAAAGGGAGACATAAATATCCATGACATTATTTCTGCATTGGCAGAGCATGAACCAGAATTCCTGTATGGCAGATCTGACCTGTGACTTTCCCTGGATAACCACGGGCTCTCCTCAGCATCAGAGAAGAGCAGAAAAGTACCAGCAAAGCAGCCTCAGATCAGCTTCCCGTGCTACCTGCGAGTTCCACTCCAGTGCACCAGGATTTGAAGTCAGTGTCACAATCCCAACACAAGCAACTCTTGTGCTCCCTGAGGTGCATACCTGGGAGATGGCACTGAACACTGCCTTGTAAACTGGTTCCATGCTTGCTCGGCTGGTCTCAGCTGCTTGCTGGACACTGTGCAGCCACCTCCTCCTGGCAAGGCTCCGCAGACACTCCGTTTCACTTTGTTTCACCCTTCTGTTCAGAAATTGCACCAAATTATCAATAACTTCATCCTCATAGCCAGGGAGCTCAGAAGCAACCAACTCCAAGAACGTCTGGAATGCCCCTGGGGTAAGCTTCCCTGCCCTGCTGAGCTGTGGGTAACGGGAGCAGAGGTGTTCCTTTGCTAGTGGAAAAAACAGAAAACGAGACAGGGACAGTCTGAATCAAATGTTTTGCCTTTCATTAATTGTTTAATATTGTTGAAATAATTGTTGAAATTCAGCATAGTGCTGAATTTCATAAACGGAGAGCTAAGAAAACAAAAGCTCTGTTGAAGTAATACAGAGGTGGGGACAACCGTGCTCTGGAATCATCTGGACTGCACCAAGAGGTGTAGGTGTGGAGAAAAAGGAGCAGGAAAGCTTCTTATAGAAACACAAGGTTTAGAAGTAGAGCAGCTCTGGCTCACGGGGGTGCTCTTGCACAGCCTTTGGAAGTTGCAGGCAGCTTCCTGGCGTATGAAACCTGGGATTCTCTGGGTGCTCTGCCCAAACTGGGCTTGCCCGATCACGCTCCTGGCGCTGCCCTGACTAACACTTGCATCATTTTTTTCTGCGTCCTGATTTCAAATCCAGTTGGACCCGAAGCAGTAAAGGAAAGAGATTTATTTGTCAAGCTGCTTCCTCCTAGAGAGCTAAGCAAGCAAAGATATATAGGTCAAAGTGTGACTTTGCTGTTAAGCAGAGTATTTTGTGATCAATACACACAGAGGTCTATAAGGAACAGTGTAATAGAAAGTGCTTTGATGAATGTTGCCCAGGAACAGGCAGGGAGCTGCCCTGATTGCCTCCCAGTGCACCCAAGACTCAGATGTTTATGGAGCTGAGAGTCTCCTCCTTCCCCCACAGAACTCAGGGGGCATTTTATCACTGATTTCAGCTGTACTAGTAGCAAGTACTAAATGGCCCCATTCGTGGTGGAGCTGACTCTGAACACTGACTTATCCTGCCCATCATCTAAAGAACATCCAGTATTATTAAATCTAATTTCTGATTTTCTGACAGAACTAGGATGGAAAATGTTTTGATGGTATAAAAAAGTTGGGATTTTCACCTACACATTTTCCCATTTTCCTCTCTTTGAAGAAAGAACCCATGAAGTTGAACATGACATGATCAGTGCCTTCATTACTGAGACACAGCATAATGGATTATTTTTCCCATCATATCTGTAATTTTACACTTGCAAGGAAAATCAAATAATTCTACCCACTTTTCAGTCTGTGTTTTCATTCAGGAGGAGTGCAATATCTGTGAGCCCTTCCCTCAAAGCTGCTTGTTCCCCACTGTCTTTGAGAGATTAGGTTGAAGCAGCTAGAAATAGTTTGATGTTGCTTGTAGGTGGTATTGATTTTGCTGTGCTATCTTTCTGTTTCTTTGTCCTTTATTTTATGAGCCCTTCACAGAAGGGACTATGTCCTTCCATATTTCTGCAGTGTGTTCTGGCATGCTTTGATTCAAAGAGAGCTGTAAACTGCCCATTTCTGCTGTGGCTGTGCAGCCTGGAGACCAATAACTGCAGCACACCAGTGCACTCCCCACCCCACCAGCTGCCTCGAGTGAGCTAAAGGATAAAGAGATTTTGGTGGTTGACAAAATGAGCCATTTTTAGTAATGTGCAGCAGAACAAGCAACATGAAGTTGAGCATGGAGATGAATAAACCAGTCCTCTCCACCCAAGCACACATGCAGACATGTTCTTAATTGCTAATACAGTATTTCACCTAATGCCCACATGTTAATATGTATGAGCCTGCCAGACAGGTCCAGGTGAACCTGCAGCTCTTCTGTCTGACCCAATTCTACTCTCTCAAGGACCAAATTTGCTAAGTTTATTTGGAAAAATGAAACAGCAGAGAAGGGAGACTCAAAAGTTGTTGTCTAATTCATGAGAGCTGTGCAACAGTGTGGAGTGCTAAAGGCTATTTGAGATCCATAAGGAAAGCTGGAGTTCTCTCCTATAAGATACACTCCTGCAGGCAGCACATTAAAATGTACCTATTAAAAATACCTGGATAACACAAAGAGGCTAGACTAAAAGCACAAAATGTGTCTTCAGGCTTTATGTATGTTTTTCACTGCCATATCTCAACTACATATTGGATGTTACAGCTGAAATAGCTTTTTAAACCCATCACAATGTTCTGAAAGCACTGGGCTACCTCTCTGAGTGGGAATCTGATGCAGGGGGAGTCTCACACAGGAGGAGAGGATGGAGCTGTGGAGTAACCAGCAGGTCTGGATAACTGTTCCTTTTATGCATCACACCACCTGTGCTTATGACTGCTTGCAAAAACACAAAATGTCTGGTGCTTGCCAACAAATTCATGAGCACTGTTGGTGAATGGTTCAAGACCTACTGAGTTGACATCACTCTCTCAGAGTGGAGCTCTTTGCTTACCGTTCCTCAAGGCTTCTTCTTCCGTCCCTTCCTTGAGTGTGCTTAGAACAGCAACCACCTCTTCCAGGTTCAGAAGCCCAGATGCATTTTTATCCCACTTTTCAAAAAGTGCCTCCAGCAGCAGTTTCCGTTGTGCCATGCGAGAGCTGTGGTCAACCTGCAGCAGAGGAACAGCCAGTCTTTGGGAACTCCTGGGCAGTGCTGCTCAGTGGCTGCACACATATGGAAAATACAGTATCTCCTGTGGGCCAGGCCAGATCTGTAAATACACAGCTCAGACCTGGTGATGAATCATTAAACCTGAGAGTTATTTGGAACTGCTAAGCACAGCCAACAGTTCAGTTTTACCAAGCAGAATCAGCACAGCAGAGGGTTATTTCCCAGTGAGCAAACAAAGCCCATGCTGGATCTAAGGTGAGATCAACTCAGGCCAGTGCAAGTTGCCCAGAATACAAATGTCTTCTCAGCAAGAACTAACCACAGCCCTGTTAGTAACACCCAAAGATGTGATGGTTTGTATTTCCATACATTGTTTTTTTGCTGGTGCTGCCCCAAAGAGTGTGGAGTTCAAGCAAATGCGTGTCCAATTTGTCCTTCAAACCCAGTCCTTGCACAGCACAAGGAGTGGAATTCTCTCAAAGGCTGAAATGCTGGCAGTGTGTGTTGTGTTCAGCATGAGGACAGCAGAGCCGTCAGATCCAATATCTCACCCAAATTAGGTCAGCAGCAGAGGGAAACCAGAGAGACATCTGAGAAAAATAAAGCTAGAGAGGCTACTATGGACAGAGCCACCAGGAAATGTATCTGTGCTCTGAGATGATACAGGGCACCCTGTGCATGAGCATATTGCTGAAGGGGAATATGTTTTCTCAACACATGGGAAGAGCACCTTGTAGCTGAAACACAAAGAAGCATGTGCACAGCCACATGCAGCCATGCACATAGCATGACCTAACACACTTGTTTTAAAACCCTCCCCAAAACATCCACAACCTCATGTGCCAGTGCAGTAGGTCAGAGATCAGGTTCTCGGCTATTATAAAAATGAATAAGCAGAATGGAATATTTTTAGGTCTTTCACAATTAACTATCAACCTGTTGTTCTCACTGAGTCCAGCTCAGAACAGACAGGCAACCTCTTCCAGGATGAATCTGTCATCACTGGTAGAGCTAAGGGCTAGGGAGGGAGGGTCCATATGAATACAAAGGGGTGAAAGGTCTCTTGAAGGAACAGAGAACACAAAGCTGCAAGTGAACAGCTCTGGCAGCATGAGATGGAAAGTTGACTCTGTCAGTGTCTGTGGGCATTTGCTTGGTTTTTGTTTGATCGGATCAGCAAAACTTATCAATATTTACTTTTTGTAGCTGTTCCATTTTTTCCTCTTCTGTCTGTTGGTATCCTTCTTTGAGAAATGCAACAAGTCTCTTCAGAGTAGGCAGTGAAACATCTTCACCAACAAAGGTCTCCACGAGGTGCACGAACCGTGGCAGGTTGAGGCAGCTCTCATTGAAGGCACTCCTGGGAGGAGAAGCCCAACGCTCCTGAATCCCTGCCATGAGGGGGTGCAGGTCTGCAAGGCAGAAGGCACAGTGTGTTGTGGGAGCCAAATGCTGCCCTAAAGCCACGTGGCAGGTACCAACGCACTCCAGAAACCTGCGCTTCCTACCAGTGAAATCACAGCTGGATAGGGACTGGGCCTGTCCTGACCAACAGCCTAAATCTGCTTATACTTTTCTGATAGCATCTCTTCAGATTCATGCTCCAGCCCAGCATGGGTGCTGTCATACAACCAGGTCAAATCACTGAATACAAGGGAGCTGATATTGCTGTTACACAGCAAGTGACCTTCCAAGACAAAGCCTGTGCTGCTTTCCTCTTGAGGTCAACCTCAGGAATGAGTGTTTCTATTCTTGTCCAAACCTTCAGCTCTCAGCAGTACTGACATGTCTGAAGACTCTGCCAGCCACTCTGTCCCCAAGTGAACACAAAACATTTTGACCAAATACCTGGGAATTTAGTGTTTGCATACTTCCAGTCCTCTGGAATTTTCCTTCCATACCTGTGATTTAGGTCAGAAGTCAGAAAGTCACCTGGTGAAAGATAAAACATACCTTGGGATGATGCAAGGTTTTGACAAAGACACAAGATACAGCTTTTCTAAAAGCCTTTCAGTACACATATCCAAGCCACAGTTTTAAAGCAGATGAAAAGAGCTGAGATGAGCAGTCACCTGACCATGGCACTTCAAACTCCTGGTCAGCTTCATCTAGAGAATCCTGTCTGTCTGAGCATGCTGGACCTGCAATTTTAAAAAGAAATCTTCCGTGAGCCAGAGTTTACTAGTCTGGGCACCCTGCTGATTAAAATGTAAAATCTACCTCTGTGTCTTTGGAGTTACCCTTGTTATCAGTAGCTGTCTATTTTTACTGTCTGGAAATGCTGCTTCCTGAAATTCACCTGGTGAATGTTGCATTTCTTAAACCAGCTACAAATATCCATTTAAACAAGAGTAATAAAATACATTCTTTCCCAAGATTTGCTCAAAATTGGATTCAAACTGCTTGTTTCCATCCACCTTGCTCTCAGAGAGCGTCATACAACCAGACCATCATTTCTGCAAGGACAGGGTAGGAATCTGCTCTGAGGCTGGAAGCACTTCAAGCCCCCAACGATGTGGGATGAGTATCCAGGGACTGGCTGAGTGACAAGGCAGTGCTGTATGCTGGAAGTTCACCAGAGAAAGCTGTAGGTACCAGTGGGCTGTACCATCAGCTTTACAGCTCTTTAGGTAGTAGCACTGTCACTAGACTGCTCTGGCAGTCAAGCCCCAGTTCTCACAGTGCTTCAAACTGAGAGACACAGGAGTGTACTCACAGAGGAAGCCAGCAAGGAAGGTGGTCTTTCTGGTGTGGTGAAGAAAGTGCCTCTTAGGAAACACACAGTTGCCCAAACACAGCCTTCCTAGAACAGGGGCCTTTGTACACAACTAAGAAGTACAGTAGTCCTTTGGAAACACAGTGAGATATGAAAATAAAACATTCATGTTATATGTTCTCCTAATATATCTCCTTATGGACAATCACAGCCTAAAAAATCATTAAAATCATCTTTGTGCTCACCATGCTCAGGCTTCTGTCTTGTTATACTGATACTACACAGCACAAAGTTTCTCTTTATTATAAAAAACCTGCTGCTTCAGAAAGTCCCTACTTGAATTAATGTGTCTGCTCAGTGCCTTGAATGCAGATCACCAGCAAAGTGATTCACTTGCCATCCTGGGAGAGGAATAGACTCTGAGACCCTGACAGAAGACACCACGATGAGAAGATACCAAAGTCTTATCTACTCAGAAATCACTCACATACTTTCAATATGTTTGAAATGGATTAAAACCACACCTACAGTTAAACCAATCCAAATGTATATGTTGAAAAAGACTAAGGCCTTTGCCTTTACCCTGGTCTTGCAGAAGGTCCTCATCTGTTGGTCTTGTCTCTGAGCTTGTCTGCTGGTCCAACTGGCTGTCAGGCTGCCCAGAAAAACTCTCTTTTTCTGTAGGAGTTGTCTTTACAGCCTCTGCAACTGGAGCATCCATGTCTGCCAGAGCTTTGTCTTCTGAGGACATGGCTGTAGCTTCAGGTGTTGGTCCTGAAACGACGTTGGTTGTCTCTGCAGTCTGATTGTCCTCCTGACTGCCTTGTCCTTCTGAGCTAGGTTCTCCAGCTGAGATAACATCATCTTCCCTCTTTGTTTCTGTATCAGGCTCTCTACCCAGACTAGTTTCCTCTTTCTCCACCTGTTTTTCAGGTGCAGGTTCTCCATCTCTGCTGGGACTGTGCCCAGCAGAGGTTGATCCTAGGAGAGCTTCCTCTTGTCTGTCTGCACTTGCAGAGTCAGTTTGCTTCTCAGTTTCAGTGTTTTCCTGAAAACTGGATTCCTCACTCTGCATTGCACCTCCATCCAAACCACTGGCTTCCAAGTCAGTGCTTTTCACTGCAGACACATTGTCCACTTCCTCAGAAACTTCTGTTTGAGACACAACTGACTTCTCACTGGGTTCCTCACGAACCTTCAGGTCAGCAAGGCCTCCCCATAAATCAGCAAGCTCAATCTCTTGTGGCTCAATTAGTGGCCCTAAAATAGAAAAAAATATTGATGATAGTTTCCATTGGTTTTATGTATGTTTGTTATTGCTCTCTAGTATTGCATAAGAATATTTAAAGAAAAAAAAAGGAAGAAGAAAGATATTTCTTAGCAAACACAAACTATCTGGAAGCACCTTCTGAAAACACACATCTCAGAAACACAAACCTTCCAAATAGAGTCTTGGCCTGCACTTGTTATTGTTGATTACACCACATCTTTTGAGATAAATATCATGTTTCTAAGAAGAAAAGCTGTTGTTTGCCCTGCATTTGATCTTAGCAATTAAATAATGTCCAGTATCTTAGAAATATTTTACTTTCATGGTGATGATTCTCTGTGGTGTTTTTTCATCTTGCCATGTTCCTGGAGAAATTTTAGTGTAAACACAAAATTAACTTCTAATATTGCCCACTAGCAAAGCCCAGTTGTTTCAGGCCAAGCAGTCTGTCTTTATTCCTATTCCAAAAAGTACTTCAGAATTTTGCAGCAAGGAAAAGTTTTGGATGCTGAAATATTTCTGTACCTTGCATCACAATTTGCAAAATCTTTGCAAACTGTGGTGTAGAGGTCACCACATCCATCTGGGTCCTTTTTTAGGCTCTGTTCATTGCTTCTAACATTTCTAAACCACATATTAACTGTACAACATCATGTGACCCCCTAATGATTTAACCACAAATGAAACATTCCAGGTACTCACACTGCCTTGGGTTACAGAATCCCCTCTTGGCAACCCCTGGGTTCTTGTCATAGAATTCTACCAGCAGGGCAAGTGTTTTTTGTCTGTCTAAGACACCAACCTAGACAAAAAGATGAGAATTATTGGCTTTTTTTTTCCTGTGGTACTTGGGAATTACCTCAAAATTTGCAGCACTACAAAGGCACTGCTAGCTAAGAATTACCTGTGACTGAAAATTACCCATTACCAGAACATGAGTACAAATTGAAAATAATCTATTTCACAGAGGCAAAAAATTCTTCTCTGGGCTTAGCTGGAACTCCTCAGACATGTTGCTTTGCAGGCACATCCTCTTGCATATTCCTTACAAATTATAGTTGGATGATTGTAACCACTTCTGTCAAAGGAATTTTCATGCAAAGATCAAAGATTCAACATTTCACACTTTTAGGACAAATATGCATTGCCTGACAAGTGTTATGGAACAATTTTCACATATTATGGGCTGTGCTGTGTTATGTTAGTGAGTGCACATTATAGTTGGGTTTTGTGTCCTCTCGTTTCCTTTGAAGCAGGAGGGATTGGCAACTGCCTGGGAAAGGAATCAGTCCAAAAACCTGAGCTATTATGATAACCTCCCTAATTTCCTTTAAAAAAACATACACTTTTGTCCTTAGAGGTGAGGGAGGTATCAGTAGTTCCAGTGCAGAGGAACATGCAGATTTTATGAAGTCCTCGTTGCTCAGGGTGAGTGTATATAGACAATAAAAGCAGGAAAAGACAATTAAATGGGTTCTTTCCAATCAGGAAATGGTGAGTTTAAAAAGCAAATCTAAACCACTGCAAGTTTTCCATTTTATGATTAATTCCTGTTGTCATTATTTCAGTCCTGCCACCTTGCTAATCTCCCTCCCCTTAGTGAAATACAGTAGTTAATTAGAGAACAGATTTACTAAAGTTCATTATTTGTGGCAAGTAGCTTTCCATCTGAGTTATTGATTTCCTTTTCAAATTTTGCTCCTAAGGGCTGCAAAATGAAAAATTCACCAGCTTTTAATTCTTCATGAACTTTTCCTGCCCTTAGGCTGAAGAAATCACGGAAGAAGTTTGTTGCTCCTTTCAGTTGAATATGTTAGATCCAATTCTGCATCCATTTAGTAGATACACAAACACAGAATGTGTTTCTGAAGATGCTACCTGATCACTGCACAATATTTGGATTCTCCAGTCAGTATTTCCATTACACACACTTAATTTTCCCTTTTAATTTCCTCAGCCACAATCATCTGCTGGTTGCCTCAAGGCTGCAGCACTAAAGCAAGGCTTTGTTTCATTAAAAAGGTACATCAATCAATGAAATATTATTTAAAAGAAAATTAAAATGTTGGCTTTGGGATTCAGATCCTTTTTTGTCATGTTCAAATAATATACTTGGGTGATTTAGAAAACTCAGATTCTAGAAAAGGTTTTTTATTATTTAGATTAAATCATTTTGGGTTTATATATTGTTAAAAATAGTAAATTCCTTTCAAGAAATTACTGAATATGAATTAGGGTTATATTTTCTACCTTGTTTTAAAATTTCCAATCTATACAGATTTGCCAGAGACCTGTTATTTCAGGACCTTTTCCCTTACAACTGACCCTGAGAGGAATATGTCACAGTAAAGAGAGGAGCTTTAGAACAGCAGAACCACTTCCAAGGTCCCATACCCAGTTACACCACCTTTCTGGATTCGTAAGTTCACCAGGAAAGGTCATGTTGCTTTGTACTTGGTATGTCAGTGAGGAGGCTGATGAAAGGTTCCTGCCTGTCAGCCTCTGGTACAAGACAGGTTCAGCATCCACTGTAAATACCAGCAGGCCATCTGTGTTTGTACAGCTGCCCAAAACTTGTCTCCACCTCTAACTAGTGCCAGCTTTAGTGGCTGGAGAGTTGAAACACGTTGAGCCAATTTTCTTGTCACCTCAATATTGGCAGGTGATGATTCTTGGTTGTTTTCAGCAATGTTCTGTGAGTAACTCCTTCAGCAACACAGACCAAACCAGACTTGCCATTTACTCAGTAATAAGTCAGTGTTTAACCTCTTGATTGTTTTTCTGGAGATGTGATATGTGTATCTTGAACACCACAATGTGCTTCTTAGTGAGCGTGATGGGAAGAACAGACACTCAGAAGAGGTCAGGACAAAGCAGGATTTGTTGCTGCTGTACTGCAAGAGAGGTGATCAGAAGTGTCTCAGGCTTCACTAGTTGGAAAACTGATCTCTGACTAAATTCAGTTGCATTTAAAGATCCTGGGCTTAAAAAGTCCCTGAAAATTAATGTAGATTATGTTATAATGTATAAAAGAAACTAGACTTGATACCCATGAGCACAGAGAAACAAGAAGCTTAAAATTAACAGAGCTATTGCCTTTTGGGGCATTGGAGCAGTGATTCAGCTGGGTTGTGGCATTGCCTTGGAAAGTTTCTGCTTCAATGTAGAGTCCAGGCTATTGTGGCTGAGCTGCCATCCTTCTGGATGCATGCACTGGAAATCAGAATAATGATCATGTGGACACCTTCTAATTTGACTGTAATTTAAACACTGCTCTCTCCGCTCCCTGGCCCTAATTGCAGCTCAGGGAGGCAGCCAGCACGCTCACCATGCAGACTGGAAGAACTGCTACCAAACACATGGAAATGAGGAACTGAAACAACTGCTCTGCTGTGCTCTGCAGAATGAGCACCACAGGTACTGGATCCCATTCAGCTGCTGCGAGTCCTCGCTTTGGTTTGCATCTTTTCTCTTCCCCGTGGGTACAGTGCAGCAGGACTTATTGGAGCTACACAAAAGAAAGGAGGACAGGTTTAGAAGAGCTCTGTGGTCCACAGCACAGTTTAGTGAACTCAGTTTGCAGAGTAAGGCTGCCTCAGGGGCTAGAAACAGCACCCATGTTGGTGCTCTGCTGGTTTTTTCCTGGGCAGTGCTGGTGTCTGTGCTGATGGCTGCTCCCTCCTGTCATGTTGTGCTAGCAGTTTTGGCTCTTTGCCTCTGAAATTCCACTCGGATTAGTAGCATGGAGATGGTGATTACTGCCACAGAAATAATAGGAAGAAAGTGACATTCAAACATGAGAGAGAAAGAGGGATCCTTCCAAAACGCAGGGCAAAGAGAGGACTCAGCTTTATCTGTTACTCTACCCAGGAGGATACATTGAAGCTCTTCTTGAAAGAGGAATTGTAAAATGAAATGTCTTCTAACTGAGAAGTACACACGTTTCGTTCCCTATCCCTGAAAAAGCAGCTTGCCTGCTAGTCTCTAAAACACACCATTGCTGTTGAAACTTGCTATGTAATTCCATTCTCTAAGAAGCAATGACATGATGAGCATGACACTGCAGAGCACAGCTCACTGGATACATGCTGAAACATCACCAGGGAGTGCAAAATATCAGTTATGCAGGGGAGAAAATGGTAAGATTATGGCAACTGTTTGCTGTGTAGTAGCCAGCAACTGGCTAACTGGGGCATATTTTTTGGGTGAAGACCAAGTTTTTAGCAATAGCTTATGCCATTGAATCTTCAGCTTCTACTATTTACTGGTTCTCTAACAAGTCTAGCTTTTAATGGGGATGCAGATGTACTCAGGAGCTGAGAGATGGAGTTTAGAGCTGCTGAAAACCAAATGATGGCTTTTGAGTTCCAATTCCGTAACTGATTCATTTTATTTTAATTTCCTGCCCATAAACTGGGGCTGAAGTTCACAGTACTTTTCCCAGAGAGGTTGTAAAGATAGCTTATTTTGCATTTAAAATTTAAACTACCATGAGATTTATCAATAGAAGCCCTAAAGGTGAACAAATTAATACAACATAATTAATGCAATATATGTTACTGTTGTTAAGGTCAATCTATACCAGGTTATCTTTTCTGAAGTATGGATGAGTAACAAATTGGCACCCAAACATTCTGAACATGCTTTGGGAACAGATAATGACTAGAGGAAGTAAAGTTCATGGTTAATTTCTTCTCCAGAATCATCAAACTTCAGCCCCCAGTCATTACGTTAGGTCATAAAGTTTCTAATTAGCCATCAGCTTAAAGGCTATTGGCTGTTTCTGTGTCTAGGAACTATGAATTTGAGGACAAGGCAGCAGCTACTGTCCTCTAAAGTAAAGCTGAGTTAGCACAACATGAGTATCTGGAGTCATGGAGAATAAAAAGGAATTGGTGACCCAGAGAGATACCAAATTGGAAGCATCACCATATTGAAATTAGGTTGAGAGCTGCTTTGCTTACCTTTCCATAATCACAATCTAGGAAGAGATCAGCAAACATTTGCCTCCACATATCATGTTTTATTGCTCTTTGGAAGTCATCAGCACACTGGCAGAGGTGCTTCAGCATTTGTTGGAACGTGTCATTAGAAAAATTTTCAGTGAAGCAATAGACATACTGTGGGGAGAAAGCAGGAGTGTCAATGGTTAGTTTTCTTCAGGTATTTTCACCTTTATTTGAGCTCTTAAAAATCTATTGCCTGCAGTGAAATATCTGTGAATTTGTAGTTTAATCTGCAAATGTTCTGCAAACTTGGTGTGTGGGTGCTACACTGCTTTTGTTCCTTCTTTCCAAAGCAGCAATATCCTCCAGGCAAGCCTGGGCCCCTGCTGCACCAGGCTCTGCTCAAATGCATGGTGAACAGTTCACTTTTCATGTTCAGTGGTTCCTAGAGGCTGGATCAGAATCCCTCCTAGGAAATGCCATGGCTTAGGTTAGGTTATCTCAGGGAAGAGAGAAGTTCTCCATGGTTTTCTGCAGCATTTAGTATTTCTGACTTTTACTCCAAGGGAGGCATTTTTGAGCCATTAGTTCTTGCAGAACTGACAGTCACTCAATTCTCTAACACCACAAAATGTCCATTGCCCACAATTTCAGTGTTTAGGGAATCAGTCTGAATACAATAAAAAAAGGAAAGAACTTTTAGAAAATGTGCCTGCTGTCACCCAAGTCCTCTGACACTGGGAATACTACTGACTTGATATTTATTTTAAGTTCTAGCCTTGGAGACACTTTAACACTTTGGATTTATAGCCATGTGGGTTTTATGAGTAAAAGCAATATGGTTCTGAAAATGTGGTGTGCATGACATAAATAATAATGGCCATCAGAACAAACCACAATCCCAAAGCCTGCACTGAATTATTACAGCAGGTTTCTGGAGCCAGCCACAAGAACAGGGAGCCCAGACAGGGAAAAGGAGGAACCTGCCAAGCACAGGATGGTTCCTATTACCCCATTTTTACAGTGTGGATACCTGACATAAGGGCTAGGACATCCTGGGCTTTTTGAAATGCTGCACAGGCATTAACAAACTGAAATATTAACATATGTTATTATTATTCATGTCTATATTGCATAATTTCTGAGTATATGGGACAAGTGGAGAAGGGAGGAAGAGCAGAGAAGCAGCAGTGAACAGGCTGAGCACTGGCTGGTGGGGAAGCAGAACTCCTAACACAATGTCATGTTTTTTCTGCATTTCAGCGTAATGAGAGAGGATGTAGGTGGGTTGGAGAGAAGGTGGCAGATCTGGGGCTACGTGTATCTACCAGCTTTTCAGAGCTATTACAACCCAGAGCCCAGTGACAGATGAACCTTAAAGATGACAGCAGTTGGGAGGAGGCAGGTTGGACAAGCAACTTGTTGTTTTGTATGTCATCTTGATGACACATCCAAGGGCTTCTGTATTAATGCTGCTGTCTAACAGCTCCACAGAACATTCCTGAGGAGAGTGTTTGGCTATGTGGGCAGGAGGAACTATCACAGAGTCATGAGCTTTTCTTAGCTGCTGTGTGTAAAGCACTGCACACGTAATAAACACTCATTTATTTATTATTAACCAAGAGATTTTAACATCCATCAGAAGAAGGCTGACACACCTTCTTGCTATCCAGTGTGAGACCTCGTCACAGTTTGTGAACACATCATCAATAACCATGGACCTTTGCATTTTCTGCCTGCTGATCTCAATAGAAATCAAGGAAATCAACATGCAACCCTGACAAACAATCCAACCTTTAAAGCCTGATTCAGGCCCTACAAGGGCAATGTGAGTTTTTCCCTGGGGGTCAACAGCTTTGTGTCTGGCTGGAGGGGGTTCTGCATGTTAGAATACAAAGCCTGTGAAATAAACTATTAAGGACTGGTCTCTGGGATTTAAAGGCTTTTAATATAAGTGACCCCATGAGCTTGCTGAGAAGGATGTAAAAATTCAACAAATTCTGCATTTCTGCAGAAAAAACCCACAGCCCTGAAATTCAGCAACAGCAACAATGTGTGAGGTCTCTCTGCTGAGTTTCTAACAGCCTTTAGGTAACCCAAAGCTGCACTGAATTGAAGGGGGGAAAAAAGCACCATTTAATTTTAGGGTCCATTAAAAAGCAATGATTTCCACATGTGAAAGAGCCTAGACCTGTGTGGAGAAAGATCATCTCTGTTTTGGTGGATGATGCAAAGTGATGCACAGAGGTAAATTATAGCTGAGAAACAGCCCTGTGCTGAGAGCAAGGTCTGTGATTATGGAACAGCTCCCAAGGGAAGTGATGAAAGACTCATCATTTGATTCAATTAAAACTGGACTGGAAAAAGCATCAGAGAATATATTCTGAGAACAACATTGCAGGGGCTGGTAAATCACACAGCTTGACAGTCCATATCTTTTGTACTTCTGCTCTCTCATGTCATATTTTTAATTGAGTTAAAATAAAGAGTATACAAAATATATTGTAAAATATTTTTCTAATGCTAATGGAGCAGGAATTCATGCAGTGCTTCTACATGTTCCATACAGGTTATGGATTGATGCTTCATTTCAGTGACAAAAGCAATTCTCTGGGCTCCCATTATCCACAGTAGTTTTCTTAATTAAATGCAGTAATTCTGAGGTTAAAATTAAAAATACCTCATTTCATGCTTATAAAAGCCTTCAACAAGTTATCATAAAAATGCATCCCAGTACAAAATACCAAACATGTGAGACTCCTGAGAGCAAAGGAGGCACAAACATCACACATGGTTGCTTGAAATTAGTCTCTGCACAGCTGCTTTATACTCTGTTTTTAATTATTGTAACAGCACCCACTAGCACTGCTGCAATTGACAGTCTGTCATTATTTCTATTCTAAATATCCTTTTCCCAGGGTTAACTACTCAGCCATAAAAGTTAGCTTTGTCATAGGTAGAAATGGCTGGCAAAGTCTTGGCCTGGAGAGTTTCTCAGTAAACACAGTTGGAACTGATTTGGTTGTTTCCAAATTGATGAAGACTAGAGTCCAGGGCAAAAACACTAGAGCTTCTCATCCCAGTTCATCACTTGTTTGTTTTTACTATGGTTAATAGAACTTAACCAGACATAACAATACTCTGGGGACAGCACTAATTACCTCAGGCTAATGGTTGTACTGGGACACTGAATCTCCCTTGAGGAGCCAAGGCCAAATCTGAGCTCACAGGTTTCTCAGGACTTGGACACCCTAGAAGGGAATGGAGAGGGGTGTCCTAAACCCCACTGCTTCTAGAGTAACTTCTCAGAGCATGGTACAGGCTGCAGCTCTGAAGAAAGCAAAATACTTCCCCCTTGCTGGCCAGAAGGGAAGTGTTGTGATAGCAGAGGATGGATATGGACGTGGATGTGAAATGTCCTGATGCAACCAGTTACCTGAGATGCTGGAGAAGAGAAACCCTTCACTTTTTCATCTTAGCTGCCTCCAGGGAAATAATACTACTTTGTGACAAACATGATACTCTGAATCACATGCTCTTATTTCATTCCTCACCTCTTTGAATTGATCTATGTTTACTTTTTTTTCCAACGTGTCCATAATTTTCAGCTTCCTGACAGAGATTGCTAGTAAAAAATGAAGAGATATTGGTTTAGAAAGCCAACAGTTGTGGTTTTGCATATTGTACATATTTTTTGCTGGTTGTTATCTTTCATTGACTCTCTTTTCATGGTGGATTACATTTATGTGAGGTTACCCTACACAATAGCTGAAGCATCTAACTCTAGAGGCTCCCTAAATCTGATTCTTACTTATTTCTCTTACTGAGAATCTGCACTTACCTTTTCAGAACTGTATGGTCATAATCTTGACATATGTTGGTGCAAATTGCAATAGTTTTAACTGTGCTTACAGCTAATTATGTGAAGAAAGAAGTCATTTTTGGTTTAACAAACAGATAAAACAGCCTTAACATTCCAGGGACGTGGCTTCTGCTTTGCAAGAGTAGATTTCGAAAGTCAGTAATTTTCCCAAGATGCTCTGTGGGAATATTTTTATTGATTATGATATTCAAAACTATCTTCTGGTCAGCTTCTGGGCTGCTATAATGGAACTGAGGAGGTATGTAAAATGTTTACATAGATTTTTGAATGAGGTCTTTGAGACATGGCATTTCTTTTGGGATTATTTTCCTGTTCATTCCTCTACAATATATCAGGAATAAAGAGAAAATTCACCATAGATTGCATTTCTCTCTTGTTGCTTAAGACATTCCTAAGCTGTACATTATCTTTATTCAACTACAAAACAAAGCTTAATGTTCCATTAGTGTATATTGGATACTATTAAATTAAATACATTAAGACATGGAGCTGGACTGTTGCTGGAATAGGACATGAAGCACCTCCACTGCCTGTAGAGCAAAGATCTGGACAGAAACTTCCTTCTCAGCCTCATTTCCTAGTATCTGTTCATACTGGAGACCCACAGTCAGCACAGCAGGAGCACAGGGCTGTGTCTGGCATTCCCACAATGTGCTGCCAGTCCAGGGGGATTACTCAGAGGAACAATTCCCCAACACAAAAAGGGCTGAGCAAGGGCAGGCTCCAGACAGAGGTGACTTCAGCTGCAAGCAGCAATGCACTCTGGAGGGTCCCTGCTCATCCCATCCCACAGTTTGCCTCAGAATCCAAACCACAGAAATAAAAATAAAGGAGACACTGAAAACTTACCTTCTATCACTTCTATGGGAGTAGAAGGAATGAACTCTGGAAAAGACTTCAGGGCACTCTGAACCTACAAATCAGGGTAATAGTCAAAGGCCTGTTTCATGCAGACAACAGTAGGCAATTATTAAAATAAATGACCCAGAATAATTAGTCTTATGGGCCAGCAATGCTCCTTACCACACAGAGGTTAGGGCCTGTTAAATGTGGACCTTGCCTGTGTTGTCCTATGTGTAACCACAGGACAATTTCCTAGGGCCCTTGTGTGAGTGTGAGAAAGATGCTTGTACCAAGAGATGTAGGAGAATTGCTGCAAATCTCATCTTCTATGAGCTGCAGAATCTGTTTGTATGAGTCACAGGGGTAGAAAGATTTCATGGAGGCCACAAGAGAGTAAGAGTGGCTGCCCTGGGCCCTTTGAATTGGATTCTGAGGGATAACCAGCTCTGCTGAGGTATGTATCCAACATTCAGCTCCCCTAGTTACCAGTGCAAGGGGTATTTTGCCACTGACATCCACTCTCCACGTTTTGAATTGAATGGCCAGCTCCTCCTTTCTTATCTCTTTTATCCTAGACTTCATCTTTTCCTCCTGCTCCCTTTCCTTACGTTGTTTCTTTGCCTCAATCTTCATCCTGGCCAGTCTGTAGGACATGGGAATAAGGTTTAGAAAGATACCATCATACATATATTTAAAACAGATTATGCCTACCCTGAAGAACAAAAGGAAAGGAAATAACTTCTTACTGGAGTTCTTGTCCTTCTACTACAAGCATATTTTTTTCCAAAGAATGACTAGTGTGACCACTGGACTAGATATCAGCAACCTGTGTTCTCAGAAGGCAGCTCCAAGGAGGTGAGAGTGTTTAGATTCTGACATGCATCATTTCCTGAAATCCAGTGTAATTCTGCTTCTGAATAAATAACCTCTGAGTGTCAGATATGTGCATGAGGACAGAGTCTCTTGCAGAGTGTACAGCAGACATTTAAGGAAAAATGATCTGTGCAGCTCTCCTAGTTTGTGTAGTTTCAACAGTGATGAATTTTACCTTCATATTTACAATGCCATTAATCATTTATTATTTAGATGTCCTTCAGTTTTCTTTCAATTTCAGCAG